GGCCTGGGAGCTGGCATTTTTTTCAGGAAGCCACTTTGGCCTGGCCCATGGTACTCAAGCAGCCTGGGAATAGCCCTACTTGAATAGCCTGGAGTGGTCCTGCTCAAGCAACATGGGATGGTCCTGCTTGGGTGACATGGRAAGGTTCTGCTCCAGCTGCATTGGGTGATCCTGCTCAAACAGCCTGGAGAGGTCCTGTCTGAACAGCCTGGGGTGCTGCTGATCAAGCAGGGTGGGATGATCCTACTCAATCAGCATGGGATRGTCCTGCTGGAGCAGCATGGAATGGTCCTGCTGGGGTGGTCCTGCTGAAACAGGGTGAGATGGTCCTTGTGGAGCATGGGGTGGTCCTGCTGGAGCAGKGTGGGATGGTCCTTGTGGAGCATGGGGTGGTCYTGCTGGAGCAGGGTGGGATGGTCCTTGTGGAGCATGGGGTGGTCCTGCTGGAGCAGGGTGGGATGGTCCTTGTGGAGCATGGGGTGGTCCTGCTGGAGCAGGGTGGGATGGTCCTTGTGGAGCATGGGGTGGTCCTGCTGGAGCAGGGTGGGATGGTCCTTGTGGAGCATGGGGTGGTCCTGCTGGAGCAGTGCATGGTGGGTTTGCTTGAGCACCATGGAGCAGCTGGAAGTGGCAGGGATAGTTCCTCATGTCCTGCAGCATCCCAAGCAATGCATTCAAAGCCATTCCTGGCCTTTCTCGCCCTTCTCAGAAATYTTTCACTGCTTGAAATGATCCCAGAGGAATCTAGTCAAGCTCCATGTTCCGCATTAGTTATTGCTAATGTTAAATCAGGACACTGGTGACTTTATCTAGCTGAGTTATTGAAGCCTTCCAAGGGCAGAGATCATCCCCTTTCCCCYGTGACCAGTTCCAACTGCACCAGCCCCAGGGAGAAGTGTTTCCTGATGCCAGGAAGGGCCCTTCCTGCTTGCATCAGGGGTGGCTGAGCTGGCAGTGGCTTTCCTGGGTCGGTAAGGGATGGGACATAAGGCAGGAGAAGCAAGAAGAAAAGAAGAAAACTGCAGCTGGAGTCAAGATTTGCTGGGAGTAGAAAAGTGCAGGGAAGATGGAGGTGGGGATGAGTGAGGGAGAAGATTGGAAGGCAGGACAGAGTTGGGAGATGGAGAATGYAAGGACAGTTAAGAACGAGCTCTGAGGTTGGAAGGGTGGTTGGAAGTCAGGGAGGGGTGGCAGGGAAATCTGTGAAGTAGGTGGAATACTTAGAGGATAAAGAGGGATGGGAAGGTGGGGATAGGTGGAGGAGAARCAGGAAAACTGTGGGAGGCAAATGACAGAGGATGGTGAGGTAGCCAGAGGTTGAATGTGAGAAGGACAGGGCAAGAAGTGAAACTGCAGAAAAAAGGATCAGGAATGATGAGAAGTGAAGTGTCACAGCAAGGACAGAAAAACTGAGGTGGAGGAAGAAGTATGGGATGGAAGGTGAGGGAAAAATTATGGAAGATGGTGGAAAGGACAATCAAGAAGAAAAGAGAGGTTGGGGAGGATGAGGAGACTGGGCAGATGGTAGGAAGTGGAGGGTGAGGAAGAACAGGCAAGTAGTGRATGGTGTGGGGCTTGGGGAGGGATGGAGGACAGTGGGAAGTGGATGACAAAGAAGGTGGACAAACAGAGAATGAGAGATTAGATGGCAGGTGGTGGAGGAAAAGGATGGAGGGGCATGGAGATGAAGAGGAGGAGGAATGAGCAGACAGTGAGAGATGGACAAAGGTGACAGAAGGGATGGAGAGACATTTAGGGGATAGAAGACAGACTGGAGGGCAGTGGAACAGGATGGATCAGAAAATGGTGGGAAATGGAGAGGCACAAAGGGGGTTGGAAATGTGGAGGGGAAGATAAATTTGGGTGATACTGGCAGTTGATAGGATAGTGAAATGATGAGAGATGAGGGTGGATTTTGGGATGGGGAAGTGAAGAAAGTTGAAAGAGGACAGGAAGAGATAGAAGAGGATGGAAAAAGACATGGAGAAGAGGAGCRGAGGAGGTTGAAACAGGTTAGAATAAAGGTGGGAGTTAATGGGGAATAAGCAGGGATCAACTGATGGGAAGATGTAGAGGACAAAGCTGAAGAAAAGGTGACATCACATGAATCTGAAAGGAAAAGCTGGAGGCAAAGCAGGGCAAGGATGGATGGGACAGGGTGGAGGTGAAGAAATAAGAGAAGACATGAGAAGATGGTGGCAGGTGAATGAAGACAAGGAATGCAATGTGGTGCATGAAGCAGGAGCAGTTGAGTGGGATGGGATGGGATGGGATGGGATGGGATGGGATGGGATGGGATGGGATGGGATGGGATGGGATGGGATGGGATGGGATGGGATGGGATGAAAGTGTGGCAGGAAGACTGGACAGGATATGGAGGGCAGTGGAGGAGCACAGGAAGGAGGGATGGGAGGTGGTGGGTGATGGAGGAGAACAAGGAGGAATGTGGAAGGGAACATGGCAGATAATGGAGGAGCATGGCAGGGAGGGATGGGACAGTTTATGACAGCACACTCTGGAAGGAGCAGGGAAGGAGGGATAGAATGGGAAGGTAGTGGGGAAAACAGGGAGGGACTAGAGGTGGTGAGATTAGAGCACAATAAAACATGGAACACAATGCAGGAGGACAAAAAGGAGGGACAGGACATGATGGCTGATGGAGARGTACAGAAAAGAAGGATGGGACCTGGTGGGTGATGGAAGAGGGTGGCAGGGAGGGATGGGACACAGTGGGTGACAGCATGGGAAGGAGGGAAGGGTGGACAATGGAAGAAGGGATGAGACATAAAAGGAGGTACATGGAGAAAGGGATGGGATACAGTGGGTGATGGAGCATAGGAAGGAGGGCTGGGCTGGGTTAGGTGGGTGATGAAAAAGCAGAAGAAAGAGAGATGGAACACAGGGGATCAAAGAGCAGGGATGAAAGGGATGGGACAGGAAGGATGATGGGGGAGCAAAAGAAGGGGGGATGGGTTTGGTGGGGGATGAAGGACCTCAGGGTGGGACAGTTAAATGGAGTGAGCCTTGGGGGAGGCAGGGATCAGAGAATCAGAGAATCATTAAGGTTGGAAAAGATCTCCGAGATCATAGAGTCCAATCAAGGGGCACAAGGGCAGGAAGCCATGGGCAGCGAGAGAAGGGGGATATGGGCTCTGTGTGCAGGCTGGGTGAGTTGTTGGGCAGGCTGGGATGGGATGGGGGAGCCATGAGAAACACCAGCATCACAYTGACAATGCAAAGCTTGTGTTGAGAGGAGCCTGCAGTGGGGGGACAGCGCTGGCAGTGACAAGGAGCCCTGGTGGTGTGGCACAGTTGGGTCAGCACGTGGGTGTGGTGTCAGGGACAGACAGGTGGGTGAGGAGACGATGGGACACCATGTGTGGGCTGGGCAGCAGGTAGAATGGCAGGGACAGAGGGACAGGGTCTCATCACCCCACAYCTCGCTCTGCAGCAACACCGACCCAGACAGGACAGGCAGCATGACCGCCCCCCGCGACAGCACAGGAAGGCAGCACCAAGGGTGGGGGTGAGGGGTTGCAGGGCCTTTATTCATCACACAACGAGCAGGCATGACACAGGGGTGCAGGATGGGGTGGACAGAGAGCCTGTCATCGGGGCAGAAGGTGCCCTTCATGCAACCTTGGCATGGGCTGGTGAGAGGAAGCAGGAGGACAGGGCAGGGGCAAAGGTAGCTTCATCCAAAACACCTCGGGTTTCAWCCCAGGCTGGGCACTGGCGTGTGGGAAGGACAGGGGCAGAGTCCATGGAGGGGCTAGAGCAGAATCAGCCACCTCCACACCTTAAGCGAATTTTCCCCACAAATTCCTTGCCRGCCTCAGCTCAGCCCCCCTGGGAGATGCCCAGCACCGCTATTTACAGAGTAAGACAGAACTGACCAATATTACAAATAATTAAAAGGCAGTTGTAAAAATGAGAAACCACATTCCAAAAGTAGAGAGTCTTTTAAAAAAACCAAACCAAACCAAACCAAAACCCCGATTATCCATGAAAATGCTAAAAACCACCCCAAAAAGATCTATGTACAGCAGGAGATTGCCCGTGGCAGTGCTGGACCCGACTCCTCCGTGGCAGGCAGGGACACAGCCCGGCCCCAGCTGCTGGTGAGGATGGGCAAAACCTGCCCTGAGTCCCCCACCCGGGCGATGAGGGTCCCCCAGGGGCCGGCCAGGTGCCGCAGGAGCAAAAGGCCATCGGTGCTGGGCCTGCTGGGCCCTGGCTGATGCTGGTGTGTCCGGAGACACAGGCAGTGAGTGGCCGTCATGGAGATGCTGACGGAGGCTGCGACGTGGCAGTGATGCAGCAGCTGCTGCGGGCAGCGAGCGGCYGGACGGGAGAGGGCAGCAGCCTCGGCAGCACCGGCAGTTCTTAAGAGAAACTGCAAGATGACAATGTGCAGAGGCCCTGGAGGCAGTGCACAGAGCCCCAGAGAAATGCACAGAACTCTTGGAACAATGCACAGAGCCCCAGAGCAGTGCACAGAGCCCTTGGAGCAGAGTACAGAGCTCTTGGAGCAAAGCACAAAGCTCTTGGAGCAGAGTACAGAGCTCCAGAGCAGTGCACAGAGCTCTTGGAGCAATGCACAGAGTTCTTGGAGCAGGGTATGGAGCCCCTGGAGCAATGCAAAGAGCTCTTGGAGCAATGTACAGAGCCCCCAGACCAAGGCACACAGCCCCAGGCACCTGCAGGCAGCTCCATCTGGGTGAATCCCTGCCTGGCCCCTGGCAGGCAGCTCGGAAATAGGTCAGGCAGCTGCCTCGGAAATCTCTGTTCTCTCCTGGAGCTGCACAGAGGCACCAAGGCTGCTCTGTGTGAGGCTGGRTGGCAGTTCTCCAGCCCTGGGAGCTCTGCAGTGCCGTGGGGCTGTGGCTGCTGCCCCCTCCCTCCCTGGGTAAGGCTTTTTGTGGTGGTGACAGAGGGACGTGCAGCGCAGACCRTGGGGCCATGCTACAGCCTCCCAACCCACAATCTCTTAATCCAATTGGTGCCTCTCCAATGTAGCTCATTTCGGTATTTTTAAAATGCACTTGGTTTTACATTGCAGGCTGTCCGGAGTTGGGCAGAGCCAGAAGTGGAGGAAAAAAAAGGAAAAGAGAAAAAGAAAAAAAAAAAAAAAAGACAAATATGTATATTCAGCACTTGGAGGAGAAATAACTACAAGTGGCCCCAAGCAGGGAGGTGGGTGCAAGGCAGGGGCAGCAGGGCCCCTCGGGAGCAGGGGATGTGCACACACACACACACACACAGAGGCACAGGCCACCTCTCCCCACGCTGTGCACCCAGCACTCCCAGCTCCGCAGCTGGAGGAGCCCGGGCACAGCCGGACCCTTCCCAGCAGCGCAGGGCCTCAGCAGCACCCCCAGAGCAGAGGGCGGCCAGGGAGGGCCCCCCAAGGCAGCCCTGGGCTGGTGACCGCAGGGAGCCTCCCGCCCCCTTCCTGCCGGGGAAGCACAGGCGGCTGATGCAACCGCGCCGCAATCGGGGATGCGCCGGGCAGGGCGGGCGGCCGGGCCAGCGCCCTCCATCCGCGGGGCCAGCGCTCCCTCACAGCCCCCGGCCCTCCCTCGGCACCAGCAGCCTCCCCCGGCCGCTCTCCCTTCTCAGCGCCGCCGGCTCTCGGCACGGCGCGGTCTCGGCTGACCATCCCGGCACGGTGGCACCGGCCAGGCCCCCCCAGCGCACCCCGGGGCTACCGGCAGCCTCCGGCTCCACATCTGCTTCGTAAGCGTCCCCGGGGCCGAGGGGACGTTTAGGAGACAGATGCGCCCGCGCCGCCTTGCAGAGGGGCCCCGCGGGCTCAGCGCGGGCGCTCGTCCGGCACGACAGTGGATGGCAGGCACGCTGCGTCCCCCGGCCCCCCGTCCTCACTCACTCGAGACCCCCGGCTTCTCCTCCGCCCTGGAGGGGTCCGTGGGGTGCAGTTTGCACTTGGAGGGGGAGTGGCGGACCGCGGAGCGGGACGGCCGGGCAAAGCAGGACGTGAGGGACTGGGAGCTGCAGTCACACGCCGTGTCCTGCAAAGATAGACAGGGCACAGCGGGGTTAGAGGGGTCAGGCACCCTGTCCCCCGCCACGGCGGGACACCCCGGGGGRCTCCGTGCCTCGTTACCTCGCTGGCTATGGCCGAGATGAGGTCGGGGTCCCGTAGGACTGCGTCCTTACTGCCCTGGCCAGGGGACGAGGGCTTGGGGTCCTCGCAGCTGCCCTGCTTGAGGACCTTCTTGTTCAACACACGGGAGATGTTTTCGGYGGGGTGGTGGGTGGCGGGGCTGGAGTGCTCGGCTCTCTTGCCTCCTTCCTCGCCAGGGGCCTCCTTCTTCTCCTGGGGGGCAGTGGGGCTCTGCGCCCGCCCGCAGACGTTCCTGAAGAACTCCTGCACGAGGCCGTACTTGGGGGCTTCRGGCTTGGCGCGGCTGCTCTCGGGGCAACCTGGCTTCCAGATGGACTCGGTGCTGCCCGCGTGCTCCACCACGCTGAACAGGCTGGACAGGCCGTCATTGATGTTGCTGAGGACAGGGCTGTCGCGGGTGGTGGTGGAGCGGGCCCAGGCAGAGCCGTTCTGCTTGCTCTGGTGCAAGTTCCAAAGGCTTCTGTCCTTGGACGCATCCAGCTTGGAGGAAGACCTCCTCTGGAGCTTTGGAGAGCCATATTTTGGGGAGCAGCACGGCCGCTCGATCCTGGAGTGGACCTTGTCCAGGGAGGAGGAGATCTGCTTGCTGCGCACAGACACGAGGGAGGAGCTGCGCGGGGACCAGCTCTTRCCGTGCACACCAGGACCGCGGGGCAGGTCGGTCTGGAGGCCCACGCTCACCGTCTGGATGGTCTGCGTGCCCACGTGAGCCAGTCCCACCGTCTGGCTGGAGGTGCTTTTCACCTTTCTCTCAAGCGAGCTGGAGCGGATGGCCTGGCGCACGCAGTTGGTGATCTCCTTCATGTCATCGCTCATGTTGCCGGAGATCTCCAGGTCATGCAGTGCTGGGGGGAAGTGCGGCACCGGTGGCACCGTGCTCTCGCCTGCGCTGCTGTCCAGTAGCTCCCGCTGCTGCTTGGAGAAGTTGCACAGCCACTGGCTGTAGGTGCCCTCGGCGCTGGCCGATTCCTCCGGCTCCTTGGGCTTGGCCATGGTGAACAAGAACCCGGGCTCGATCATGATCTTGCCCTCCTTGTTGTGCACCAGGGGCGCCTCCAGCCGCCGCACCACCGGCGGGCTGTAGTAGATGCGGATCCCCGTCTTGTCGGGCGCCGTGTAGCTCCTCTGGATCTGTTTCTGAGCTGGGTCGTGCCCGGAGAGGCTGCTTGCCCGCGAGTAGTCCCAGGAGGAGATGCCCAGCTTCTCCTTGGCCAGGCTGTCAGGGGCGGGCTGTTCGATATTCACATATGTACAGTTTGAGGGAGGAAGGCTGGCGCTGTCCCGGATCCCATTGGGCAGCAGCTGCGTGGTTGAGGATGCCTTTTTGCCCCGGGCATGGTCACCCAGCCCTGGAACAGTCTTTCCAGGGAGGTAGGGAGAACAGTCGAGCAAGCTTTCAAACTCTGACATGGAGGAAACGGACTTGGTCCTGTGGGAGGAGAGGGGATGGGGATCATAAGGGGACAGGGCAAGGAGTTGGGGGACAGTTGAGGCACTCCTGGGCACCTTCTTGGGCACCCAGTCCTGCTTCTCACCCTTTGCTTCCAGGACTACCCTGGAACACAGCTGCATGTCTGTGACTGTCAGGGCTGTTAAGCCCAGGGACCCTCTCTATTCCAGGGACCAKGAAGACACCAGCACACTCACCTCTTGAGGTTGGTTCCCTTGGCTTCTGCTTCAGAGATTGTCTCCTTGTCTGTGATTTTCTCATTGAGAGCCTAGGAGGGCACAGGAGAAAGCTCCAGGGTCAGCAAGAGCAGGAGCAGAGCACAGAGATGGGCTGGGGGAGGGGCTGCTCTTCTCTGGCAACACCAGTTAACCCCACACCCTGAGCCCCACCACCCCATTCCCATGTTGCAACCACATCTATTTTAAATCAGCTTTTTATAACTCCACAGAAGCTCTTTATGTTCAGCCACACCCTTCACTCTCATTCTCATGGTGCTCTCCCTTGCAGCCTCATTTGCTGTTTAAGAGGATGTTAATTTGGGTTCACGCATCCCCCCATCTAACCCTTAGCACAGACCTGAGCCCTACCAGCATCCTGAGTGCACTCCACCTTCTCTTACACACCTCTTTCCAGTTGCTGCCATGCTTCTCCATTTCAGAGTGCTTCAATGCCCACGGATTGGATCCTTTCTGCAACTGGAGAACGTGTTGGTCACCCAACAGGTTCAACATGTGCCCCTCCGGGCAAACATAAATATGAAACGTYCTTGGGGCAAGCAGAGAGGCTGGAGGGACGTGCAGGATGGGGGACACCATACCTGGTTGAGTTTGTTCTGCAGGTCCTTTGCTTGCTGCTCTGCCTGCTGCTGCTCCTCCTTGAAGCGTGCCAGCAGCTCCACCTTCTCCTGGTTCCAGTTCTTCTCGCTGATCTGCAGCTGCTTGGTGAGGTCCATGACGGCGCTGTAGGACTCAGCCAGGAGATGCTGGTGCTCCTCACGCTCCCTCTTCAGTGCCACCTTCCAGTCCGGCAGCGCACGCTCCGCRATCCCTTTGCCTGCCTTTGACTCCAGCTGTGGGGACATGGTGGTGGCTGTGGGGGACCCGTGGCTCCAGCAGGGTGCTGGACATCTCCAGCAAAGGGGCAGGGCTACGGGCTTCCAGTGCTTCCCAGTGYCAGTCCCATGCTGCCAGGCTGGGCAGTGAGGTGTCCCTGAGGCCATGACACGTGCAATGTGGCTTGCCCATGGCACAGCCAAGCCATGGCTGGCCCTGGCTTCAGCCACATTGTGCCAGCCCGYCCAGCAGATGGTCACCCAGCAGGACATGGGCTCAATGTCCTGCCTGCCTGGCTGAGCTCCCGCCTGTGGGACCTGGTTCCTGGAGAGGGGCAGCAACACCTGCAGCACTGGCAGAGAGCCCCCTGAGGATACAGCACCACTGGGTGTTGCTGCCACAGCAACTCCGCTCACTTTTGAGGAGATATGGGAAATGGGGACTCGTGCCCTGCCTGGAGAATTCCTGCCTGGAAAGCACTGGCACCTCTGCTGGGGAGCAGAGCCGATGTACAGCCATGGGCTGCTGCCAGCAGTGTCAGTGGAAACCCCTCAGCACYGGGAGGGCAGGGCTGAGGGGCCGATGGGACTCATCCTGCAGGCAGGAGCTTCCCCCAGTGCCCAGGCTGCCCTCCCTCACATCCTGCCTTCCCTGCAGCCATGCATCCCTCCCACAGCATCCGCAGGGCTCCTGTGCTGTGACTTGGACTGAGGGACAGGGGGCTCTGATGCTGCTCTCAGCCCTGTCCTGGGGAGGGGCACTGAGATCCCCCCTGTCCCATCCCACCCTCCCCAGGCAAGCCCAGCAGAGGAATAAAGAGCATCCTCTGCCGCTCCACAGTCAGATTTCCATGCCAGCCCCGTTGCCATGGAAACTCTCCTGCCTGAGCGGCTGCTAATTAAGATTCCCACAGTGCCACCCTGCTCCTAGCCCAGCGCTTGGCACAGGGCACAGGCAGCCCCCCAGCCCCCAGGAGAAGCTCTGCCAGCCCGCAGGGTGCCCAGGGCTCCCACCTGGGCAATGTGGCACTTGAGCTCGGCACGCTCCATCTCCCAGGCAGCCTTGGCCTTGGTGAACTGCTGCTGCAGCTCACTGGCACCGCGCCGCTCCTCCCGCAGCTCCGTGCACAGCTCCTTCAGGGTCACCTTCATGTCCGCCAGGGTCTTGATGCACTCGTTGGGCTGCAGGAGAACAGGGCTGAACACAGGCAGCAGGAGGGGACCCAACAGGGAGGGAGATGCCCTCTCTGGGTGCCAGTCCCTGCTCCCAAAGTGAGGGACATGGGACATGCCCCCACCAGGGCAGGGGACCACCCCAGGGGTGATGTGCCAGGGGAGAGCAACCCCACTCAGCCATGCACCCCCATGCCCCACAGCCACAACTGGGGCTGATCCTGCCCTGATCCACCCCCTGAGCTCATGGGGACCCCGCTCACCGTGTTGGGGGTCCAGCTGTCCCCGGCACACATCTTGTTGTCCGCCTGCTGCTGCGGGGCRAGCTCCTCCTCTTCCAGCAGCAGGTACAGCTCCTTCATGCTGTTCACCTGGGGGTGACACCATGGCTGGGGTGATATGGGGACCCACAGCCCCTGTCTGGGATGGGGGACACCCAAACAGCCCTGGATGGGACATGCAGCCATGAGGGACATGCCCAACATGTGGTCCCTGCTCCAAGGCCACCCCTTGTACCTCCAAAAAGTCCTCGCCCTCATTGTGCACCATCTTCCCCTGGCGCCAGTGCTTGAGGAACCACTTGAGCTTCATGAAGAGCAGGAGGAAGCTCTGCCTGAACTGCTGCGACTCCTGCACCAGCAGGTTCTTCTCCTGGCTCCAGAACTTCTGCTCCAGCCGCCTCTGCAGGTTCAGGCTCTGCAGCTCAAACTCCCGCCGCAGCAGGGCTTTCTGGTGGTCCTCCTTCAGCTGTTGAGAGACGAGTGGCTCCAGGACTGGGGCTGGTGGCAGTGATGTGGTGCCTCCCGCCCGTGCCAGCCCCATATCCCCATCCTAGGTAGCTGCAACACCCTGGGGGCATGCTGGGGACAGCAGAGCCATTGAGGCAGTCTCTGCATGGCTCTGTGCCCATGTGCGAGGAGTGTGCTCAGCCTGTGTCCCTTGGAAATGGGACATGCTGTGTGTGCTCCCAGGTAACACCCAGGTCCCCAAGTGGGACATCGGGCTGGGGCTGCAGGTGGCACAGCCATGGGTGTGAGGACACCGGTCTCCCWGGGACAGACACCTACTCACCTGGCAGATCTTCTGTGAGAAGTTGTCCACCTCGTCCTTCCTCAGCTGCCTCTCCTGTGAGAGCTGCTCCTGCAGCCCCCGCAGGCTCTCGTTGGCCTCAGACAGCACCAGCTGCAGCTCCTTCATCTGTAACAGCCCAGGAGGGGATGGGAAAGGTGAGCTGCATATCCCTCTGTCCCTCCCCAATGGGGTTCTGCAGCTTCCCTAGTCCCCAGCTCTCAAAAGAGTCAATCCAGTCCCACAATCCTTCCCCAACCCCGCTGGCTGAGAGATGTGGCTCCCTGTCCCTGTCATACCTCGGTGGCGTAGGAGTCGTTCTCCTCAGCCCGGCAGGTTTTGTAGCTCCGGGGATGTGCGGGGTCCGTGTCCTTGGTGTGGGGGATGCGGAAAGGGTCGGCGTCCCTAAAATCAGGCTGCTGCATGCGTGGGCAAGTTAATGAGAACAAACCAAAAGAGCGGGAAGAAAAAAAAGCCAGAAAACAAAACAATGGGTCTCCGAAACAGTAAAGAATTACAAGACAACAAAAAGGATGAGGAGGAGAAGGAGCTTCATCACCATGGCAGGAGACAATGYGGAAACCAAAAGGAAACACAGGATGAGGAGACACGTGGCCTGGATTGTTTAGGGAAAGGGGAAAAAAGAGAGAAAGAGGGAAAAAATGTGCTAACACCAGTTATGGTGCCATGCAGTGACTGGGGGAGACTGGGACCTTGGGCTGGGGGACCACATGCAGAACAATAGGACTCTGAACAAGCGAGTGTGCTCCAGAAAGGGATTGTGCCTGCAGCCCCAACCACCACTGACAGCCCTGGCCCCTGGCATGAGCTGGGACCCCTGAGAAAAGTGGGACAGCAGGGCATGAGCTGCCCTCCACTTCTCCAAAGGTGTTCTCCCTTGGATGCAGATTTGCCCTGGAGCCTCTGCTCTTCAAATTACCCTGCCTGGGTRCCTCTGGGGGCTGAGGATTCCTGCAAGCAGGGTCCCTGCAATTTGGGCTGCTTTCGGGGGCTGCAGGCTGCTCTCCTCCCACCCAGCTCATCCCCAACRAGCAAAGAGCTTCTGAGACACAGTGCTGGGCTAAGCCAGGGAGAGCAGCCAAAACATCAGCCCCTGCTAAAGTGGGATTGCACCCGAGAGCCCCTGGMCCTGGGCAGGGCAGCCTTGGCACAGCCAGCCCGYGCCAGGATGCCCACTGCCTCCTGCCCTGGGCACACTCTGTTGGAGCAGAGTCCTACCTTGTCCCCAGTGCCCCTGGCATGCAGTGAGGTGTTAGTTTGGGTTTTGCTCTGGAGAGGCAGGAGGGAGGTTACACTGGGGATCGGGGTTTGYTCTGTCAAAGCAGGAGGAAACGTGGTGGCAAATAAAGCGGCAGCTGCTGSGAGGGATGTGGGCAGAAGCCRTACCTGGAAGTCRGAGGYGAGCTCCTTCTGCAGCCCCTCTTTGGTGACRTCGTGGCTGCTGGAGCTGGAGAAGTGGAACGAGTCCGTGTGCTCCTTGAAGCCGCTGGTGAGGTGGTCCACTTTCCTCACGARGCAGCCCAGGTCCTGCTGGAGCACGCCCAGCCTCATCAGGAGCACGTTCATCAGCTTGGCATCGCTGGGGCTGTCACCACCGCTGCCCACCGCCTCGCCCAGCAGCACCCCCGCACACTCGTTGTCCAGGCAAGCCTTCAGCCCCGAGGTGAAGCCATTGGCATCAGAAATCAACACGTCGATCGCTTTGCTGACCAGCGTTGCCTGGTCCCGGATGCCCAGCAAGGTCTCCAGGTCCTTGGGCTTGAGCAGCTTGGTGGGGCCATCGGGCACCTTCCCACTGCCCAGCCCCCTGTCCTGCCCATCGGCCTCACTGCTGCCCACGCCGTCCCTCCAGCCGGCCRTGGGGACGCACTGTGCAGAGTCACCGGCCTCAGCGTCGGTCTCCAGCATGGGCCGGGTGCTCTGGCAGGAGGCCAGGTCGCAGCGCTGGAGGTTGGACAGCAGCACCCTGTTCTCGTACTGCAGCTTCTTCACCTTGCCGCTGAGCTCGCTGATCTGCACCTTGGCCGTGGCCAGCTCCTCCTGCGAGGGCTCGCTGACCACCGAGCAGCTGTCCTCCGACAGCGTCACGTCCAGCTCGTGGTCCGACTTGTACTTGGTCAGCTCRTTCAGGAGGAGCTTGTTCTGGTCCTCCAGCTCCAGCAGCGAGCGTCTCAGCAGCTCAGCCTCCTCCTCCACAAACTGCAGGTGCCGGCGCAGCTCGGCCACCGTGTCCCCCGCATCCCCGCAGCTCGAGACGCCCACCAGGAACCGTGTGTCCTGCCCCGGCAGCTCCCTGTCCCCCTGGCCCTTCATGTCATCCATCTCTGCCCGCAGCCCGCGGTTTTCCACCTCCAGCTCCACAATCCTCCGGCTGAGGATGTTGGCTTCCTCCTCCACCAGCTTGAGGTGGACTTTCAGCTCGGCCTCCCGGGAATGGGGAGAGTCAGCCAGCTCCTCCACGGACAGGGAGCTGTCCAGGTCCCCGTAGAGGGACCTGTACTTCAGCAGCTCCTCCTTCATGCCATCGTTCTCCTTGGCCAGCTTGGTCAGCTTCTTGCACATCAGGGCTGACTCCTCCTTGGCAAAATGCAGCTGGCACTTCAGGTCTGCGCTGTCCTCCTGGGGACCCAGAGGGGTGGGWATTAGAGAGGTGCTCCCCTGGGCCATGGTGGCTCCCAGAGAGCCCTGGGGACATGCCACCCTCCCACCCCAGTCATCCCAGGGAAGCTGCTGTCTCTGCTCATGGAAGGGGAAAAACTTTGAGATCCATCCTGGAGATTGCCAGCCTTCACCAGGATGAAGTCTCACCAGTCTCACCATCCAGGATGCCCTGAATGMAGAGACCTGTGGCTCTGGTCTCAGGAAAGACACTGAGCCGCCATCAGGGATGTGGRGACCAGCTCCAGCCTGATCCAACACAGGGCAGAGGGGAAGGGAAAGYTGTGAAGAGTCCACAAGGTCCCCAAGATTTCCTCCCAAAAGCTGGCACTGCTGCCACTGCAACCCCTCATCAGGGCTCTGCTCCTCCTGCTCAGCCCCCCATGCTCCATCACAGGGCAGGGAAGCAGCTGAAAACCTCTCCAAGTGCCAACCCTCAGCCTTGCTGCCACCACCTTGCCAGGGCACTGAAACCCCYGGCAAAGCCTCAGCATCAGCTCATGAGTCCCTTCCCAAGCCCCTCTGCTTCTCAGGACCGTTTCTCCATGTGTTCCTTTTTCATTTAGCAGTTAAGGTCTTGGCTGCTTGCCCAGACAGACCGTTTCTCTGCTCTGGGAAGCTTTTTGGATGGAGGACCAGGATTTCCTGACGTCCAGCTYGCAGCTTCCCGTGCCCTGGGGTCACTCGAGTGCTCTGAGCTCCGGCGTGGTCACTGCCAGGAGGGGACCTGTGGGGCTGTGACCCTCACCCCACTGCACCCACTGCAAGTGGCCAAGCCTTTTAGCTGGGTGGCTGCTGGCCCTGGCAGCCCTCTCCCTGGCTGAACACATTCCCATTCCCCTTTCCTTGGCTGGAAGAAACAATCTGTCCCATACTTTGGGTGCTCCGGACCCCCAGCCCCCCACTCATGCTCATGCTCACCCCCAAACCCTGCAGCAGTATTTACTCTGCAGACTTCTGGGCTGCTCCTAACGAGGTCATGGCTGATGGAAAGGGGGTTCCCATGAATTTGGGGTGCTATTTTATTCCCCAAATRTCCGCCGTGACCACAGGAACCACCCTGCTGCTCTTCCATGCTCRTGCACGGGGACACGACCTCACTAAGGCGCATTAAAGCTGTGCCCCCCTAATTAGGTGAGGAGATTAGGGGAGGGCTGACTCGGCCAGGGCAGACATGACCTCAGTTCCTGTTTTTCCAGGGGGAAAAAAAAAMMGCAGCAACCCAGCRTGTCCCTCTATGTCTTGGCATCGCTGGAGGGACACACGCGTCCCCAAAACTCCCTTGTGTGCTCCGGGGGTCTGGACAGACCTTGGTGTTGAGTTTGTCCCCCCCAGCTCCGTTTTTGGGGAGTGCTGATGCTCATCCAGCACCGCTGAGCAGGAAAGGGACCCAGAAAGCCACCAATGAGTCACAGCATCTGTGCCCACAGGGCCACCAGCCACGGCTGCGTGGGGACAGGGAGAGGATGGGGGCCACATCCAGGGGGAGGCCCAGAGCTCCTGGGGTCCCACCACAGAGCTGGGCCAAGCTCTGTCACCCCCCGGCTGAAGGGTCTTGGCTCCTTGGGGTGTGGGAAGCAGCGGGGGTTTTACTGTGGCCAGGGCTGGGGGTTGTTTCCTGCCCCAGGAGGAGGCAGATGAGGGGCTTCAGCCTCGGGAAGGGGGTGATGGAGGGCAGAGCACAGGTACTCTTTGGAGAAATGAGGGGGAGGATGCTGGGGCCTTCAGCTGGCCAGAAAGGGCTCTCAAGAATAAAGGGAGATGATAAATAAAGCCTGAAGGGGAAAGTCTCTGAGGGCCTGAGGATCCCTGTCCTGAGGCTGCACAGGACATGGTGACCCAGAACCCTTGGGCTGCTCAGGGTCCCTCCTCAAGATGCTCTCAGCAGCGTGCCAGCAGTGGCTTTACAGGGTGTGCCTCCCTGTAGAGCATTGGGGGAGCAGATCTGTTCCCCAAAATAAACCTTCCAGCTCTTTTGCCTTCGCAAGAGGATTTTTCCTCTTGCCTTTCTATCCCYGCAACAGCAGCTCTGCCTCTCCGAGCCCTGGTAACAGCATTAGCGAGTCACAGCAGCTCAGCTCAACAGCAAGTGACAGCTGAAATCCTGCTGCCCTGGCAAATCCCCGATCCCACTCTGCAAGGGCCAGGAGCAGCGTGGCCTCCAGCCACCCCCACAGGGACCCTCAGCTCCCCTGCACCCCGTGAAGCTCCCAGACCACCCTCAGCACATCTGCTGGCACTGGCGGGAGGGGGACAGGCTGCAGGAGCCCAAGAGCAGAAACAGCTTTGCAATGTAAGAGCCGAACTCCTTCAGCTCCTTACACGGGGAAAGGGTTAAAGCCACTGCCCGGCCACTGCTGCTCCATTGATAAATGAGACAAGGGAGCGGCTGAGGACAAAGAGGATGGCCCAGCACATCAATCCCTGCCTTATGCAGGGGTTCTGAGAGGGAGGAAAKCTCTGCACAGCCCTGCAAGGAGGGGATGGCGCTGCCATGCCCGGGTTTACTCSGTCTGCAGCTGGCACCGTGACCTGGGGTGTTCTGGGTCACTGTGGCCTGCCCTGGGTGCTCAGGTGCCAATACCTGCACTGATGGCTTCTTCTCTGTCTTGCCCAGGGAGCGAGAGCCTCGCTTCTTCAGGGAATTCTGCAGGGAAAACAGAGTTATGACCACAGTGATGGCACTGCACCCCAGCAATGACACACAGACACAGACAGACAGATGCAGTGTGGATGGACATGGGTACTGACATTCCCAGGTGCTCGTGGACCCCAGAAAAAACTCGGAGCCCTGGTGGGCTGAGAGAGGCCCTTTGCTCTGAGGGAGCTGGAGTGGCAAGCATCACATCATCACATCATGAGGTTTGGCCAGAAATTCCCCCTGCAGGCAAAGGAGCAGTGAAAGAGCAGGAGTGAGCAGGAAATGAGCCATGGAGAGTGGAGAGGCTGAGTCACAGTGGCTGTCAGGGCTGGATGGATCAGGGAATCCAACCCCCAGGCCAGGGGACAGCTCTCAGGACATTCCAGTGTGGGAGCAGCCGATGATGACATTCCCCATTGCCTTTTCCCCAAGCAAGGGATGTGTCCTGGTCCCTCAGCCATGGGAGGGCTCCTCAGCAGAACCATGCTGATTCTGCTGCCAGGGTCACAAGGGGACACAAGGGACAATGTCCAGGCTGGTGAGGACAGCTGGGAGGTGGGGAAGCAGAGTAATGAGGGAGACAAAAAGCATGGTAAACATGCAGGTGCCCAGAGCAGAGCCAAGTTTTCTGGGGAAGGGAGCTGGGGAAAAACCCTCAAGAACATCCCCAGAGCCTCCCACAAGCGCTGGCTGATCCATGCAGCTGCCCTGGACCTATTTCCAAGTTGGTGCTGAGGCCCAACAGCCAAAGAAAGCAGCTGTGAAATGTAAGCTGCTGCCTGTGCCAAGGTGCCGGGCTCCAGGCTTTCCTATTAAGGCCACGACCATCCCTGGAGCTGCTGGAGCTGCTGGAGCTGCTGGAGCTGCAGAGCCTCTCGCAGGGGTTGCCTGTGCCACATCCCATCCCTCACCCCCACCCTGCCGGGGACTGGGGCTGGCAAAGGGCAGCAGCAGCCCCAAACAGCCCCAAAACCAGCACCTTGGGGCAGATGTGGCTGTCACTGCTCCCCCCTGGGACATGGGGTGGCCATGCCCGAGGCTGAGCTCAGTGTGGCAGGCTTGGCATGGGGTACYCAGACTGATCCCACTTTTTCCTGCCCCTATAGGAGACAGAAGAGGGGGAAAGGCCTGAGCCTTGGGGATGATCCCAGACAATTAYCCAGTTATGGGAGAAACCTCTTGGAAGGGAGGAATAATCAGCCCCGAGGGCTGAGCCCAGCCCTGAGCAGTGCCTGGCTCTGGCTGCTAACGAGCTCTGCCAGGCTCTGTGCCCTGCAGCAGGGGGAGGAGSAGGAGAGCTTTTAGCTCACTTTGTCTAATGTTTGCCTAATTAGCACTCTGCAATCAGCGAGTAACCCCAGCGCCCTTGCTAGCCTGGGGACACTCCATGCCGAGCTTGGGGACCATCTCTGTGGCTGTGCCAGCCGGCGGTGTCCCCGTGGGCTCAGCCAGCTGTAGAGGGGCTGTTTTCCACCCCAGACTCTGCAGGCAGGGCAAGGCAGCGGCTGCCGCTCGACCGCACAACCATTTCCCTGCCGGCTTCCCCAGCACTGCAGAGCTCCAGCTCCCGCTGCTGCCATTTGTTATTCAGCCCGCGCTCCCGGCTGCAGGGAAACCCATTTCACGGCTGCTCCGTGTCACTGGCGAGGGGATGGCTCAGGGGGGACGGTGCCATCCTGCAGCTTCCCCGGAGCTGGGCTCGGCTTTGAGCAGAGCTGGCCCCAGAGATGCCGTGTGCAGGAAGCACGGTGGGGGAAGTGAGAGCTTTCCCTCGGTTTTGTCTCCTCCCCCACACTGCCCTGAAGCCAGAGATGCTTCCCGAGGCTCCCCCGGGACCAGAGGCATCCCGGGCAGTAGGGAAGTGGGTTACAAGGGCTGCAGTGGATTGCAGGTCCGTGCTTTCACCTGCGTGCCTTTCCTGTCACCGAGGATGACACCAATCCTGGCCMGAAGCTGGTCCCAAATGCAGCGTGACATGGGGTACCCCAGATCTGTGCTTATGGGTGGATGCATTTGGCTGCCCAGGACCCAGAGGGGATTATGCACCCACCCAGCTCCACAGCACCACTAAGGACACCACTGGGACACTGCTGGGACATCACTGGGACACTGCTGGGACACTGCTGGGACACCACTGGGAGACTGCTGGGACACTGCTGGGAGGGACACTGCTGGGACACTACTGGGACACTGCTGGGAGGGACACTGCTGGGACACTGCTGGGACACTGCTGGGAGGAACACTGCTGGGACACTGCTGGGATACTGCTGGGACATCACTGGGACATCTCAGCACAGTTTGAAGCAGCAGGATGTGGTCAGGATACGGCCACACCGGGCATTGTGCCAGGGACACGGGGACCCCCTGCATTGTGCAGAGCTTTGCCCAGATGGAATTGGCCACAGCCCAGGGCCCAGGCTGAGCAAGGGGCCAGGCACATATAAAGTGTCCCTAGCACAGTGGGGAGGTCCTGTCACCCSCTAGATGGGGCAGAGCCAGCCCCTRTCTGCAGGGTGGGATGTAGCGTGCGGAGAACAGGCGCTGCTCGGGTTTCACCAGCATCTGCAGCACGGTTTGGGTTTCAGCGCTTCAGGCAGGGCTGGGGGATCCCACGGCCCAGGGCCAGGACACCTGYCACGAGCAGAGCCTTGGGGACGCCTCCCAGTCCCCCTCCCGTGTCCCACTCACCTCTCGGAGCTTGTCCATCTCGTTCTGCACCACCTGCTTGGCCAGCTCGGTCTCGATGAGCCGCTGGCGCAGRTCCTCGTTCTCCTCCTCCAGCCGGATCCTCTTCTTCTCCACCACCTCCAGCTCATTGTGGAGCCGCACCGAGACGTCTTTGGCCACCTGGGGACACAATGGGGGACATCAGACTGGGCATGTGCAGGGAGCTGAGACCACAGCTTCTGGGCACCCACAATCCTCATGCAGAGATCACCAGGGGGTTACTGAGACCCTCTGGAGGAGACATCTATGGTGGGTGAYCCCCTGGCCCCTGTGCCTGTCCCCTCAATTGTGTCCCTTCACCAGCTGCAAGGCTGCCCCRTGTCCCCATCCCTCTGGCCAAATCCTGCCTTTCCCAGCCCTAACATGATGGTGGGAGATGTTCATCACCCTTTTTTCCCATACCATGAGGCTGGAAAAGCCCCCAGAAGGCTGGAAATCTGGTGGGCAGCAGCAGAGCCCACAGCCTGTCACTGCAGGCAGCAGCTGTGCCGGTCAGGAGAAAGGCGAGCTGCTGCATCACATTACAGAGAAACCTGCAGCTGCCCCGGGGTAAAGGGTGCCTACATCCACCCCAGAGCTGCCCCTCTCCAGATCCCTGCAAGGGAGCAGTCCCCAGCATAAAGGAAGCTCAATAACACGAAACACCCGCTCCTGCATCTGTGGGAAGGCAAAAGTTGTCTGCAGTGCCCCTGGGCTCCTGCACAGCCTGGGGTATCAGCACTGTGGAGGCAGCAGCAAYCCCTGCTGCARGGCTGGGGGATCTCAGGSCATGGGGTCGAGCTCCTGCTCCCCYGAGGATGGGCTGTGCTTTCTTTCCCAGAAAGGGAGAAGCTGGAGGGGGCGTTTTTGGCAGCAGCCACCCGAGCTGGGGGGAGCTGATGGCGGKTTGGGGAGGAGATGGGGGCCCCAGCAGGGATGGGCAGCAAGGCGGGTACACAGCCCCACACTTGTGGCATGTCTTGGCTCCAGGACTGGCTGTTTTCTGCTCAGAAAACAAAGTTATTCCTAGAGCAGTTGCACATCCATCCCGAGCTGTCTCTGACTGCCACCGCACCCCCCTCTTGGCAGCAGCCACGTCACCGAGAGCCCTCAGCAAACACTCACCAGGCTCCTCCAGGATGAAGAAACGTCACCCCACAGAAATTCCCTTGTCCCTGCCCCAGCCCCACGTGCCACCACTCCTGGGGCTCTGCAAGGTTTTCCTGATGGCCGAGAAGAGCAGCTCCCAAGCTTGCAGGCTCCTGGTCCCCCCACACCCTCCCTGCATGCTCAGGATGCTCCATCCTGCTGTGGTGGCCTCATCATGTCCCCTTAGGAGCAGGATAAGGGAGCTCAGCCCCAGGGCACAGGGCTGGGCTACAGYCCTCACATTCTCTAGCAGTGCTGGTCCTCTCCACCACCAGGATCTCCTCAGGCCACCTGTGAGCTGAAAGCACAGCTCCCCACTTCCCACATCACCACTGCCAGCAGGGATTTATGATATCTGCAATAATGACCCCACAAACTGCACATCCTCACTGAGCTCCCTGCAGCACGACATGCCCTGACACCTCTGTGCCYACAATTCATTGAAACCCACTTTGGGGACTCTGAGGTGCCCTGACAGGCTGACCTTGACGTCCTGCTCGAGGCTGTGGATGAGCTCGCCGTCCACCTGGCCGGTCTGTGCCACGCGCAGGCTGCGGCGCTCGGCCTTGCGCAGCCGGTACTGCAGGATGCGGCACGTCTTGCTGGCCTGGTCCAGCTGCTGCCGCAGCTCCTGCAGCTGGTACACRTCCTCCTCCATGTAGACATCCCGCATCTCCAGCATTTCGGCGCGCAGCTCCTCGATCTCATCCTGAGGGGAGATGCTGTGTTAGACCCCGCAGCCTGCTCTGCCCTCTCTTCCCCTGTGAACCTCCCCACCATGGCTCTCCATCCATCCCTCCATCCATCCATCCATCCATCCATCCATCTGTCCATCTGTCCATCCATCCATCCATCCATCCATCCATCCCTGATCCATCCCTGATCCATCCCTGATCCATCCCTGATCCATCCATCCATCCATCCATCCATCCATCCATCCATCCATCCCTGATCCATCCATCCCTCCAGCCCTGTCCATCCATCCATCCCTCCCTCCATCCATCCATCCATCCATCCATCCATCCATCCATCCATCCATCCATCCATCCATCCATCCATCCCTCCATCCATCCATCCATCCATCCATCCATCCATCCATCCCTCCATCCATCCATCCATCCATCCATCCATCCATCCATCCATCCATCCATCCATCCATCCATCCATCCATCCATCCATCCATCCACCCCGTGGGCCAAGCACAA